CCTACTTGAGCTTCCGAATGGACAACGGGGAATCCTGAGAGCGAGTGTAAGATAATGGAAGAGCTGTACGATGGTGGTGTCGTGTTTGAATATATGAAGTTGCTATTTGATTCGTTCACGTTTGTATACATCCAAAGGTAAAAGAAATATCCTGGGAGAGTTGTCAAGTTCCTGCCCCTCCCAGATTGCAAGGATCAAATGTAGTAAGCTCACAACGTGTATGGAAAATAAGACCAGACAAAACTCTTGAGGTGTTGGTAACGTGACTCGAAACTTCGAGTTTTTAGAGGAAAAATCAAAAAAGACACAACTTGTCTAACAATCCTACAACTCAATCCTTAGAATTCTCATCATTTTTAAAGATAACATCAGCAGTTTACTTAATTTCGTCAGCATTGGCGCTCTGTAAGTAAATTCCTCCTAATGTCCAACTGTCTCCACCTAATCCCTAAGCAGCGTCCGGAAAATTCAAATACCACCCCCCCCCCCCATTTTCATTCGCAACCCCATGTCAACCAAGTGACAACCAGCGTGGGCGTTGCAAAACACGGTGCTGACATTTAACGGCAACCTCACCAATACGAGACCGTTCTTTGAAGAATTCGAAAAATTAGAAGGACTGCTACGCGTTCAAATTCCCGCCGGACATCTGTCACAAATGCTGGCGGCGGGAACGCTTCCACTTGGTTCACGGAGTGCTGTCACTAGAAACTCTTTTTGACCTTTTGACTTATTGCATGTCATCTCACACTTATACTGCATCATATTCTATCGACTGATTCTTTCTTTGCGTCGCCTGATACGTAGCTGCTCTAAAACGCACTTCCTTCCATGCCCGCGACCTACCTTCGCCTGTCCACAGAGTATGGTGTTTATACATTTGCTCACCTTCGAAAGAAGGATCTACATACGTGCGTGAAACTCAGTGTGTTGTCCTTAGCGATCATAACAGACAATTCATGTTGGAGAAGAATTCAAGAAGCTTCCGGGAAGGATTTCTTTGATATTTCTATGAACAGCTTGACTAGCTTCCAAGAGTAATCCGTAAAAAGAGCAGAGGCCATTATTGGAACCATTTATAACATATTCAAAGCATCATAAAATGACTATATCTTGACTGGCTTCGCAAAGCCAATACGCTTATTGCCAATGTCATAGATGTTGCAGTATTGGCGTATGAACGGATCGCCGAGAATCCATTGAGGGCCAAAGCCGCCGGAGCGTATCGGGAAAATCGCCAGTGCACAGATGTCACCATCGTATTTCACAACAAGATTTTCCGTTTCCAGAGTGTAGACATGGTCGCCGATAGTGAAATTGAATGTAGCCTTCGCCGAGCAACGAATTCGATATACCCCGAAGTATTCGACGAACTGAAACAAGGTGAAGCGTTAATGTGTTTCTAAGCAAGTACCCACCCAGAACATCAACTGTAGTGGAACCGCTTCTTCAGAACTTGAAGATAATTTAGAACCCACATATGCACCAAGTGAGTCTGCTACCATTTCGACAAGTGCTTCTGGAATGCCTAGAAACGACGTGCCAGTGTCAGAAATCACTTCCCATCCCTTTCCAATGGTGAGATATCCCGCGCTGAATGCCTTCATCTAAAAATGAAATAATAAATGGCAGAGAATAGCGAGCAAGTCGATTTATCAGCACTAATATGACACTTACATGGAATTGCCAATATGGCGCTCGTGTGAGCTTCTCGTACGCAATCACTTCACCGCAGTTTACGTCGTCAAGGCCTCCATAGGTGAAAATACCTCCATATTCGCTCGAAGTATCTATACATGCTCAACCCCTTTTTATATCTGTTTGCAGGAGATTAATTTTGAATTTACATCCTCTATGTTCTAAGAAGACGGTAAACACCGGATCCACTAATCCCATCTCGACAGCTTGTTGGAGCGGGGGACTCACGTCTTCATGGGCAAGCTCTTTGAATCCTAATCCAAGTATGCCATCAAGTGGATTCTGAAATCTGCCACAAAGAATTAGGAATCGTTCAGGGCAATTAGTTCTCTCCCTTCCCTGCAGAAGGTGTTCTCTGCGATTGGGGAGACGGTGTTCAAAGCTTCGTGTGTGAAATATAAGACTTTAGAAAAGCCACTATAGCAAAGCCACTAGACTGACTGGGCACTCGCTTCTGGATGTGGTCGGGGTGAACGCTACGAAGTGCGTGGGAGGGGTGGGGGCGAGCACGCATTAGCTCCAAGTTGAACACTCGAGTTAAATCAGCTTTCAGCATGCGTTGAGGTATCCTAAACAGGGGTAGGTCCACTACATAGGAGGGGGACTGTGTGGGTTTTGGGAATGATTAGAGTAGCGGTAGCCTATGCGGGAGTGAATTTACTCGCACCGGATGTCGAACGCATGGACGCATCCCTGAGCGAATTTCACCAATGCCATGCACTTCAATTCGCTTCCTGCGAGGATGATGTAAGTTTGATGCTCATCGAGTCGTTTCCGAAAGGAAGTTTTTAAAATGACAACGAGTACATCAGTGCATTTGTCAGCGTCAACTTCATAAACACGTGTAACCGAAACGCTGCCGTACAATTCTGCAAACTTTAAAAAGTGGCCTGTTCTCAGCGTCTGTCGAGTGGTGTATTCATTTGAGCGGATGAGGGCTTAGTGGTCATTTTCGAGGCTGGAATAAAAATCTGAGCTCGGACTGTCAATGAAGAATTCGACAGGATGTGGGCTACTCTTTTGTTGTTCTGAGCAGTCAAGGATCGTGGATGGAGCGGAGTGTGTGCTGAGTATAATTATCAGGGTGCCAGATAAATCTTCGAATGCATTAAGGAGAACGACCAAGTTATCGTGCGATTTCTAGATTGGAACGTTCATTATCATGCAGAACCTTGATCTGAGCTTGCTCATCTTCAGGAAGAAGTATGGCGCGAATTGACATGATGACGAAATGAAAACAGCAAAGTCGGATTGAAACCGGTGGAAATTTCGGCGCCAAAATCTGATCTCCTTCAAGTGTCTACATACTTCTGATACAGACAATCCGAAATTTTTTTACGAAAGTGACCGAGGAATTGATTGAGGAGGGTTTCATAACGCGAGCTTCTTGGCTGCCTTTTTATCATGGATTTTGAGGAGTCCACATACTTATGAAACAAAGAAAAGAATTCAATCCACAAAAACTCACGAAAGTAAGGCGATATTATCTGCTCAACTTACTGATACTTGCACCTGTTGCCTTTTCCTAGAGGAACGCAGCGAAAGGTTGCAC